GGCTTTCACAAATAAGCACTGTGTTTGTGTGACAAATTGTTGGGCTTGTTTTGTAACTAAGATTGCAACATAATTAGAGATGACACACTTAGAATATTATTTTTCTTGTATATTTTTGTGACTATCAAATGATGCTTGTTTTACCCCAGGAGCATGCATTGGCCCAGGCAGAGCTGCTCAAGCGCCAAGAAGAACTAGAAAGAAAAGCAGCTGAACTAGATCGCAGGGAAAGGGAGATGCAGAGTCTCAGTCAACAGGGGGGTATGCATCTAAATATTAATGTTTTCTAAAAATGGTAAACATGTACATTTCTCTTGTATTATGCTTGCAAGTTTGAAACAGATGAGGTAGTCTTTTTAAGGAAAAGTCTTATTTGGGGAAAGAAAATCCAGTGGGCCTTCCTTTTATGTTGCTAAACTGCTCAGCAGTTTGCTCTTGAGATTTTTTTTGTGAATTTTATGAAACTTAACTTTTGGTGCATGAGTACTATACTGCATCACTTGGTTCTAGGCCATATTTAGTAAGTTAAGTGTTAGGTAACACCATTAGTGTCCCTGTTATAAATAACCCTAATTTTCTGATTCTGTACATTGAGTGAATCTGACTGTCCTGAGGAATGATTGTCAGGGTGAAACTGGACATTGTGCTAGAAGATGACATGAGGGGATATTCTGCTTTTAAAAGGATGAGTTCAGTCTAATGCTTGAAATAACCCAACAAATATACAATGCTGAATTTGCATGATCTTTGCAGGTCTGGGCTACCAGCATTTGACTTTCTAAAACTAAATTTTGGCACAATCAATACTACTATAGTACAGTTGCTTTGGCTAGGGATACGAGCAGATCAATTTCCCTTGCTTCGCCAGCACAACCTCCTGTCTGGATGTAGCAGTGCTGGGAGAAGAGCTTCTGTCATTCAGGAAGCGGGGGTGGGTGGGTGGGTGTGTGTGTTGGGGGGGGAGGGGTATGTGTGTAAAGCCATGTCTCCACTATGGGGCTCTGCTGCCCTAGGCAAAGCAGTGGTGGCAGCACCAGGCCTGCAGTATAGCCAAGCCTTTAGAAACACAGGCTACTGTGGAACTCGTATGGCAAAACACTTCCAGAACTAAAAAAAAAAAAGTGAAAACTTTATTGG